GTCACACCAACTAATAAATTCGTGATCAAAAAATGCTGATCAAACAACTCTGACTAATATATAATGAGTTGGAATTTTATTTCACTCAGGAGTGTATCATTAGATTTTTTATAATGTGTATGCATGCTTATGTTTTTGAAATTATATAAATTTTTCATCGTACAAAGAAAAACTTTAATATTTATTGTTTTCATGTAGGATACGACTGACATAATTATTACTACTAAGTATGCGAAGGTTTTGGCAGCTCCTGCGAATCCTACTTTAATGACTTGTACGAAAAATTGCTTGGTTTAGTATAATTAGTAAATATCGAAATCATGCAGTTTCTATCCATAATAATAACAAGGAAAAAAACTCATGTTTACGCGTATTTATTTTATTTCCATATAAAGTGATATAATTATAAATATTCGAAAGTTTCTGCGGTTACTGCTTTAATGACTGGTACGAAAAAATTGCCTGGTTTGGTAAGTAATCGAAATTCGAAATTATCCTTATATTTACATGCGTGTTTTTATTTTCTCAACTGACGTAATTATTACTAAGAAAGTTTCTGCGGTTCTGCTTTAATGATAGTACGAAAAATTATCTGGTTTAGAATAATGAGTAAGTAATTGAAATTATGCGAATTTATCCTTATATTCATGTGCATTTGTTTTTATTTCCTCAACTGACATAATTATTACTAAGAAAGTTTCTTTGCTTGGTTTAGAATAATGAGTAATTATGCGAATTGTACGAAAAAATTTCCTGGTTTAGAATAATGAGTAATTATGCGATTTATCCTTATGTTCATATGCATTTGTTTTTATTTCCTCGACTGACATAATTATTACTAAGAAAGTTTCTTTTCCTGGTTTAGAATAATGAGTAATTACGCAAATTTATCCTTATGTTCATGTGTATATGTTTTTGTTTCTTCAACTGACATAATTATTACTAAGAGAGTTTTTGCGGTTCTGCTTAATGACTGGTACGAAAATTTGCATGATGTAATTATTGAGTATTCGAAAGTTTCTATTAATGACTGGTACAAAAAATTGCTTGATTTGGGTTTAAAGAGTTTTTTTTTTTTCATAAATAATGGTCAATTTTTTTTCTTCAGAAATATTTTTTTTTTCTTAAATTGTAAGAAATCCCATTTTTCAAAAGTATCATTATGGAATCAGGAAATAAATTGAGAGAATCCTCTCGTAAGAAAATTGAGGAATTGCTAATCGAAGGGAATCATAAGCGCAGTGATAGAAGCCAAAGCTGAAGCAGAAACAACAGCAGTAAAACCAACATCAACACCAGCGAAACCATCAATGACGAAGTTAACGTTCTTCAAACTAAGAAATGGCTTCCTGCAAATTCAAAAATTGAAGGTATTCGCAAATATTTAAGAAATTAATAAAATTATCTTGTAATTAATATTTATTGTAATTATGGTAGATTGATTAACAAAGATTGAAAATAAAATCGATACTTTAAGTAAAGAAATATACGAGTTTAAATCCGAGTTAAAAAATTTACTTTCTGATAAAATAAATTTGTCATCAAGCGTTAAAGAATCATTCATAGCGGTAGGAATATCTTTGAAATATTTAGTTTTATTATTTATTTACATTCTAATTATTTTGAATTTCGACTAATTTTAGAATGTTGTGAAAAATGTTTTGAAATTATTAATAAAAGTATCAATTTATCCAACAAAAGATGAATGTTATGGAGCGGTTAAAGGATATTTAATACTGAACTATGCGAGTTTTTTCTCTAATTTTACTGAAGACGATTGGATCGCGTATTATAACGAGAATATACATAAACAAGTAAGTCCTTATTCGATAACAAAATGTTTAATAAAATAAAATGAAATATTAAGTATTAACTTTCTTCATAAAGTTAACAAAACAAGTACGGTCCATAAGAGAAACATTGTCCTCGAAATAAATGGAGGCTATTTTTTCTATATTCGGATTCCGTTTACCACCTATAAACACAAATGCCGGGCCGTCTGAAGTAGCAAAATGGAAGAGAAAACCCGAAGTTAAAGATTGTTTTGAAGGTCTGTTCAAAAAAATGAATCCCAAGGACAAAAATTCTTCGATTGTTTTAGCAAGCGTTATTGACAGAGCCCTCCAAAATGACCATTCTAATGCAGAACTTGCATATGTTCTTGCGATCTGCTCAACAATTTTAAACCCAAATTATGCCGAAATAATGTGTAAAAAGAATATCATGAAACAAAAAGTTAAAAAATTTTTAGTAAGTTTGTAATTTTGTAGTAGCATTTAATAAAATATCATTTCATGGCTAATCATATTATTCTTTAAAGAAAAAAATCAACAGTCAAACGGGCATAAGATATTCCGATTTTGAAGATAATAGCTATGAGGAAGAAGAAAGCGGAAATGAAACTGAAGATGAAGATGATGATGTATAATAAGGTGAATTTTATTGTATGCATAAGATATTTTTTTTTTATTGGTGTGGCAGGACTGGTGAATTTTATGTTTTTGCGATTAATTTGTATATAAAATTTATTAATTTGAGTTTTTCTCATTTGGCTGATAACTGTTAAACAAATAAAAGAATTTTTATCCATGAAACACAAAATTATTTTGAATTTGATCGCACAAAATTTATCAATTTTGTTAAAATTCATTTTTTTGTTCCTCTTTCGCTATATTTGGAAAGTTAAATTTATTTCTATCAAGTCTGATGCCGAGTGCCGACCATAAGAAATTATAAATTTGTGAAAAGTGTTACAAATTAACCTCTAGTTATTTGTTATATTATTTATATAGTATATATTATCAACACGTCATGCATATTTCTCTTAATTTTATATTTATCATGCAAGAATTTTTTTTTAATAGATCAAAATCTGATTTCAATTTGATTTAGTCGAGGTCAGAATTCTTTAGGACTCTACCAAAATCATATAATTCAACTCACAGATTACGAATTAATTTTATAAATCTAGTAAATTTGATAAATTAACCTATTATGGCATATACATATGTTCATGTAATCATCTAAAAATAGCTAAACACGAATTAAATAAACAAACTTAATATTCTCTATACGCTCTATTTTGCAAGGACCGCTCATTGTACATTTGCGTAGCAGAAGACTAGCAGAAGTATGGAAAGTATTTATATATATTTATAGGCTTTATGAATATTTTATAATATTAATAAATTATACATGAAAAAGCTTTGTAACAGTTGCTGGAAAAATGAACGCGTACTTTCAATATAGTAGAAGTATGGAAGTTATTTATATTTCATAATTTCATTAATATTCGTAGGTTTACGACTATTTCATAATATTAATAATTGTTCATAGAAAGTTTTGCATACAATATAATGGTAAAGGTATGGAAAGTATTTATACTCCATAATTTAACTATTTTATACAATATTAATAATTATAACTGTTGGTCTAACTTTTGAACTTATAAAGTAAAAATAAAATTAACGCAATCTATTCCATTGAAACATCCACAAATATAAAATTGCTAAGCTATGTATCATTTCAGATCCAATAGCCATTAGTTTGCAACGTAGTGGGATGTTTGACAAGTAATTTCTTTGTAAGGATAACATCAGGAGAATAAATAGTGCAATTATATGCGTAGATTTGCAAACATCACTGGTCGAAATAGTCCATTTCGGCAAAATTTTAAATTGCCGAATGTTGGACAAAATTTGGTCTGATTTTAGCCGATCAGTATCAAAAAAATCGGCAACTAATTTTATAGGTGATTTGCACTGTAACGCCTGCCACTTGTCAACAAATCGGTCAGTAAAATTGGTAACAAATTGGCAAAATCAAATTGACGATTGGTAATATAAATCAACCTAATTATTACCGATTTTGTGATTTTGTATATTTAGTTAATTTTAATTTGTAATAATAATTTAATAATTTATTAATTAATTGCCGATCCGCATGTAATCAATAGAATTTATATAGTAAAATGTGGCGTTATGTTAATTAATAAAAAAAATGCCGTTTGAAATCTCTGTTTTCCCAAGAAACAACAACATCAAATATATACATAACTCCCAAAAAACTTGTTGCAACTGGCGCTATTATATCAGAACTTTATTATTATGTCCATATTTATATGACTTGTTTATTATTTTTTAAGAAAAAAATTCAAGATAACTATTCCTATTTTAAAATTATGCTAAAACTTAATAAAAGTCCTTTTATTATTCATATATTTCATTATATTCATATTTTTTACAAACTGGACATATTTGTGAAAGAAAAAGAGATATAAAAGTGCATAGTGTTATTAAAAATGTAATAGTTGACAGAAATAATAATCAAAAAAAGTTTTATAAGCGTCAAAGAAAAGTTAAAGAGTTTATACCATAGAAGTAAAATAGTAGTAAATACTATGAAATCTCTATTTCCTACATATAAAACTTTATAAACTGCAAAGAAAAAAAACTTTTTATAAAAAATTTTTTTTTTCTAAGATCTTAAACGTATATTGCAGGTGTTAAATTACGCAATTGTATAACAATATGGTTGAATTTTATTTGATATAAAAACATGATCGACATGGCTTATATATAAATGTTGCGCTGCATTTTATTATATAAATTCTATCGATCACATGCAGATCAGCAATTGAATTCTATTAATTTGCTTTACATATTAAAATTACATATTAAATATCTAATCTACTATCGTCCACCATTCACTACACGCACCCACCACATTAACCACTATCCACCACCATCCTATCTTACTGACCCAATAAACATAAAGATCCGGAAAACCTACAAAACAAAAAAAATAAAAAACGGTTAGTAAACCATTCTTTAAAAAAAAATTAGTTTCGAAAATAAACTTATCACCTATTCAACGAAAATCCAAAGAAAACCTAAAATAAAAAATAAAGAAACGGTTAGTATACCGATTCTTTAATAAAAAAATGAAAGTTTTGAAAATTTTTCGAAACTTTACCTGGAATATTGGTATCCACTCCAGAACTGATTTCCTATAAAAAAAATTAATAAAAAAACGTTTTTTAGTATAAAAACGTTTTTTTTTAAAGGAAGTTTCGAAAATTTTTCAAAACTTTGCCTGGAATATCGGTATCCATACCAGAACTGAATTCCTACAAAAAAGATAAAAAAAACGTTTTTTATATTAAAAAACGTTTTTTAAGTAAGTTTTAAAAATTTTTTTTCAAAACTTTACCTGGGAAACGGTATCCACGTTGGAGCCGATTTCCTATATATAAATAAAAAAAACGTTTTTTTTATTAAAAAAGAAGTTTCAAAACATTTGTTTTGAAACTTACCTTGGAATATCGGTGTTCACGTTGAAGACGATTTCCTAAATAAAAAATAAAAAAAAACATTTTTTTTATTAAAAAACATTTTTAAAAAAGTTTCAAAACATTTGTTTCGAAACTTACTTTGGAATATCGGCATCCACGTTGGAACTGATTTCCTAAATAAAAAATAAAAAAAAAAACGTTTTTTTTATTAAAAAACGTTTTCAAAGAATGTTTCGAAAATCATTCAAAACTTTACCTGGAAAACGGTATTCACAATGGAACCAATTTCCTATAAAAAAAAATAAAAAAAATCATTTTTTAGCTAAAAACGTTTTTTTTTAAAGTAAGTTTCGAAAATCATTCGGAATTTTACCTGGGAAATGGTATCCATGCCGGAATCGATTCCTTACAAAAACAATAAAAAAAAATGTTATAAATTAACGTTTTTTTTATTAAAGTTTCAAAATTTTTTGAAACTTTACCTGGAATATTGGTATCCACGCCGGAACTGATTTCCTATAGAAAAAAAATAAAAAAAAATCATTTTTTAGTTAAAAATGTTTTTTTTAAAGTAAGTTTTGAAAATTTATCAAAACTTTACCTGGAAAACAGTATCCAACTTCAGAACCGATTCCCTACAAAAGAAAATAAAAAAAACGTTAATATAACGTTTTTTTTAATAGTTTCGAATTTTTTTTTGAAACTAACCTATGGTATTCGGTATCTACGCTGGAACCGATATCCCTACAAAAAAATAAAAAAAACGTTAGTGTTTAACATTTTTTATATTAAAGTTTCAAAATTTTTTGTAACTTAACTTTGGGATTCGGTATCCACGCCGAAACCGATTTCCTATATAAAAAATAATAAAAAAAACCATTTTTTATTATTAAAAAAATGTATTTTTTAAAGATTGTTTTGAAAATCTTTCAAAACTTTACCTAGGAAAACGGTATCTATGCCGGAACCAATTTCCTGCAAAAAATATAAAAAAAAACATTTTTTAACGTTAAAAAATGTTTTTTTAAAGAAAGTTTTTGATTTAATAAAAATAACCGAATTTAATGTGTATGTTTACATGAAGAACTAAGGTGTAAGAAAGGGAAGGTAAAAGGATGAAAGAGAGAGAGAAAAAGATGCGAAAAGTTTAAAAAAGTTTAAAAAAGTTTGTTTAAAAAAGACCTGTAAAATGTCGATCTGGATCATCTGATGATTTCAGTCTGATTTGCCGAATTATTACCAACTAGTTATTCATTTGGCAAATTTGGCAAAATTGTGCTGATTTATATGACCAACTGGCATAATTTTACTGAATGATCTTAAAGGAACAATTTTACATATAACAATCGGTATAAGTTGATTTTTCACCAAAAGACTGAACAAGCTTTCGTTTAACAATCAGTATCAGTTGATTTGTGATTGATTTTATTGATTTTTGCCATTGGTCAAAAAATGTGACGAATCACATAACCAATCGGCAAAAATCATGCCGAAAGTTCTTAATGGTCAAAAGTTTTGATTTTGACCAGTGCATGTGAAATACCTGGAAATCTACACTTAAAAAAGAGTGTAAATACTCAATTATGTGTAATTTACACCTTAAAACATAGTTTCAGTAATCTTCATCTTAAAAGTTTATGTAAAATCACATAAATAGGTATTTTCAGTATTTTGTAATTTTAAAAAAAAGCATGAATACACAATTTCATGTAGTTTACACATGAAATTATAGTTTCAGTAATTTTCGTGAAATCATATAAATGGGTATTTTAAGTAATTTACACTTTAAAAAATTGTGTAAATACACAATTTTATGTAATTTAAACCTAATTTTTATGAATAAATATAGAATATAATATGTAAAGTTAAAAAAAAAGTTAAATAGTATAGTGGTTAGGTCGTGAGCTATGATATACTAGTGATAAGGTTTTCGGTTCGGTTCTTAAGGTATGTAAAATAAATTGAAATTAATTTTGTTAAAAAATTTTTTGTTATTAAAAAAATGCGAGAATTTTCATTATTAAATAATATTCACAAATTTGCAGCTTCGTATATACCCGTCATAGGTGTGATTCTATATGTGTATAGTTTCGTAAATTTACACCCTATTTAAACTCCTGATGAAAGAACCTAGGAAAATGATGAAATGGTATTCTTCTCATGATTCTACAAATAACATTTCTTCCACAGAGCAAGTGAGTTCTTTACAATATGTAGATCCCAACGGTCAAACCCGTTCATGTATCCAAAATTCGTTGTCAATTAAACCCTCCTTACCTATTCTCTTTCAAAAATAATTTATGTAACGCTCTATGAGATTGTAGTAGCACAGCAGTTATAATGAAAAATTTTATTGCTTTTCGGCTTGAAATAATTTGTAATCAGGACATTTTTTCTGTGGAATGCAAATATTATATATGCTGTAATTGACGTTACACGAATTATTTCATTGCACGTTTGTGATAATCTTGTGGTCACTTGCGTAGCATATCATTACTAAACGGGTGATAATAAAAACCAATCGCAGCTTTTTCGGTTGGTTTGCTACAAATCGTCTGTAAGGTGCCACGTATCACAACTAATTGCGGATAATTTTTCCGTTGTGGCGTTGCTTAGGAAACAATAACCGGATTAATGTAATTTGTTATTGGACAATCAAACAGCTATCGTTTTATTATATTGATCACGTTCTTACAACAATAGTACAACTTGTTTCATTGGAAAATTCCCTGGATGATAAATTTTTATTTTTTTCTTTGTTTTTAACCACTAACATTTGTTTTATATTCATTGTCCATAATGTTACCCGTTCTTTAAATGTCTTAGTAATCTCAATTTGCCGCAATTCTGTCGCACTAAATTAAAATCAGTATCACTGAATTATTTAACTCTGAAAATAATGACCATGAGAACGAAAATAATGATCATGAGTATCTCTACAGATAGGGCGATGAACAACGCTAGAAGAATTACCCGTGCAGAGCGTAGAAACTAACTTGTGCAGCTGTTTTTATCCAAGACCTGAATACTGAACAAGGTGAAGACGTCATCCCGGCATCTATATTTTTTTACTCCTATCCTCTTCATTTTACATTACAATTTAAAGAACTATTATTGTATATATTTTCTGTTTTAGATATCGTATTCGTATTATTTATGTCCGATATTTTTTTCCCTCCATACCTTAAGATTACCCAATAGTACGCTCCGACCGCTCCGTCGCTCCGTATATTTTTCCGTTATTGGCTCCTGTCAACTACAATATTATGCAGCATGATTATTATGCACCACATATAGTGAAAACTACTGTTATCCTTGTCTTCCGTATTCGGTTTTTGTCGTTGGCACTTCACACGAACATTTAATATTTCACTAGTCTTGTTATATTTTGTCTATGGGAACGAAAAAAATATACAATATTGCGAAGTTTATTCAATAATGGAATTCCAATATACGATGCCTATCCTAATTGAGTAATCTATTATATCATCATGCCCTGTGGCTTATATGATCTGCACTACTATTTCTTATTTGTGATGGCCTTAGAACATGAGCAACCGTGACCCGAAGGTCACAGTCGTTGTTGAGAAATTTTGTGCTGCGGATAATATTACATGATCAATATTGTACTACGTGAGCATGCTCGCTGATGATAAATAAAATCTAGAATTGGAACCGATCACCTGTGACTCTTTACGATATCATACGAATCACTTACTAAAAAATTCAACGTTATAATATTATACTTGGGATCTGAAGAAACGAACATGTATGTAAATTTTACTTCGCCCACTGCTTCGCCTAGAATATATATTAGGTGACAAATATGATATTACGATTGGTCTATTGCTTGAGATGAAGAAAGTGACACGTTCCGCAAAAAAAAATTACGAATTGAAAGTTCTCGATATTCTTAGTAAGAAATAGGCATTTGGGTGCTCTTTGGAGGAACTACAAGGGATACGCTCTCTCATATAGTCATTTATTAACTGCATGTACATTTATCATTGTAATAAAGATTGATTTTTGACACGAGTTATGTTCCATACTACGGACTTATTTTTTTCGATAACGATAAGTATGTACATGTTTGTTCGAATATGCAAAGTTAATATTTATTTTTCTCTATTTTCGGATTTAATAATTATGAGTGATACTATCTCTTACATCAGTAACGGAAATTCATTGGTTAGTTGCAGGTGTGTGGAACTTTTATCAAAAAATACCAGTAAGAGGACATATTGGAATCTTCGGAGTTTCAGTGTAACCTCTAGAATAATTTCCAAGTTAGATCAAATGCAAAGTGTATGAAAATACCAAAAAGAAGCGTTATTGAAAGAACAATTCCCATGGCTTCCGGCAACACATGTCATAGATACATGACCACGACATCTTTCATCGTCATAGTGGCACAACTTCATTTTTTCAAAGCCTACTAAGCCATTAATGACGTGTCATTATTTTCGTAGCTTCAGTTAAGCGTCGATAATCCCTTTTAGACGAGAGAATTGTTTTTCTAAGCACTCAGCCTTCCTCGCCAAGCATTAAGCCTCTATACCGATTTTATGTATAAATACCTTGACTCTGCACAATTTGAAAAATAGAAAAAATTTTCAACTCTGCAAAAAAAAGTAAAAATAGAAACAAAATGAAATTCAACCTTTTTTTGCTCCTTATAGCCACCCTTCTCGTTGTCGGGTCGTCTCAGCAGAATGTTTATAATATTCAAGACTTTACCACCAAAAAATATTGGGCAATAAATAAAACTTCTAAAACTCCTCAAGTTGGTCTAGTAACAAACAAAGGTCAAGCTGAAACGTGGAAAATAACTACTGCTGCAGATGGCAAATCTTACATTAGTCCCAATAGCGATATTAAGTTATTAGTCACATACAAGAAGGACGGAGAACCTCTTGCTCTTGAAAGTACTACAGGTAAAGCATCGGAATGGAAACTTGTAAATACACATACTTCCGATTTGGTAGCCATTCAATCTTTTGCAAATCCAAATGATTATGCAAATGTCGGAGGATTTTTTGGTAATTCGGTTGTTTCTAGTGCTAATAATCAAGACACGCATTGGAAATTAGAACAAATTCACTTAAAACGTGTAACTAAATAAATATGTATATTTTTTTTTGTATCTGAAATATACTGTATATATAAATTTTTTTGTATCTACTTAGTTAAAACTAGAGTTAGACAATTACTAGAAATAAAGCAAGGACATTTTGCTTAAAAATATGGCTCCTTTTCAATAATTTTTTAATATGAGAGGTTTTGTCAGAATGCGCAATTGACATAATTTCTTCAATTTCGTAAAAATAAAATTCTATCATTTGTGGCAAAAAAACTTATAAATTTTTAGTGTGGTACTATTACATGCATTGATTTTACCAAGATAATTAGTCCGAAGTGAAATGAAGGACTTTAATTGTTTCGACAGGTGATAAAAAAGTTACATAATAAACGACTTAAATGATGCGAAAACTCAGTTAAATAAGCTTGATGAGAGTTTCGCCCACTTCTGTTTTCTTTTTGTAAAGTATGCTCTATCATTTACTATCGTTGCAATGAAAATTATTTTTGTATAAAACGTTGATGTTAATAGTTTTTCAAACCAAAACGTAATCAGTTTGAGTTAAATAAGGAACAACTGTGTTTCACAGAAGTGAATTATTTTCCGGTTTAAAGAGGCAGTATCATTGTGTGGATTAACCCGTCCCGATAGATAAAATGCGGGATCATATGAAATAAGTGTTTGTGTAAAAATTTGATATAAAAAAAAGTAACAATACTCTATTTGAATAAAACTCTCTAAACAAAAGTAATATATGAATAAATCTAAAGTTACGTTCTAGTTAATTCATACTTGTTTATGTCGCATCCTTTTTCGCAGTTCGACAAGTCAGAATCTTCACTTTCTATTTTTTCGTTTATATCTCTTTCATTAGAATAAAAAACGGAAGATACATTATTATCTACAGAATCAATTAAGTTCTGGTCTTGTTCAGCACCTGAATTTACTTGGCGAATATCTAGCCGTTTATCTGGTTCGTGTTCCCAACATTCTATTCAAAAGGATCACAATTAGTTTACGATAAAAACCATATCAACTCCATAGGAATTATTTCATACTTACTTCTATAAAGCTCAATAAATTTAACATTCGTGTTTGGTATAGGTATTTCTCTTAACCCGTTAAGAATGCTAAACATAAGAGAAATGCGATCCTCTTTTTCATAATTAAAAGGTGATGAACGACTTGTTAATTCCCAGAATAATACTCCTAAACTATAAATATCGCAATTCTCGTTTATCATATATAGAGTTTCTTGATTAAACATTTTAGGTTCAACATAGGGTATTACACCCCATACTTCAGCATTATAATAATCCGATCCTTACATCCGAATCCGCCACTTTTATCATATGTTGATGTATTAAGATATGATTTGGATGATGTTAATCATATATTATAATGAACTAGTTCAACTAAATGAAAAATAATCGATATTAATATATTTACAAGATCACCGTGTATGATTCCCGTATCATCATGTAACCATAAAATCGAACTTGCAATCTCCTTGGCAAATTTTAATTCGTTCCATTTAAAAAGTTATAGTATCGTTCCTTAAAAAATCTCTGTTCTACCTCCGCATACTCAAGAACAAGCGAATGTTTTTTTCTCATCTAAATATCAAAACATATTAACAATTACTCACAATAAAAATCATAGATTAATACATAATTGTTATTTTACCGTCTGATCTCGTAACTCCATAAATGGAATTATATGATTATGACAATATTCGTTTAATAAACCTAGAAAGAAAGTGTACTTTAATATTTATTCTTATAAACGAAAAGTATAATGAGTAACATACCTCTTTATTATTATCGACAAATTTTTAATCGCATAAATTGTTGATGTATTCTTCCATTTGCAGTGTAAACCAAAGCCAATACTCCAATTCATGAATTCAGGAGTTGAAAGTGAAATAAATAAGTTCGGAATTTGGAAATCACGTGATTTCAGCGACCTCAGGTCGCCCAAATTTCTTGGCAAAAATTTTTTATTAATACATACAAAGATAAATACAGTGGAACTGGCCTCTGCCGAAAGTTCGGGACGAAGCTCAGTATACATGTGAAAAAAATACAAAGGTTCGTGCCTTTACTCATAATACATGACGAAATAAGACTATACTACAGTATCTGAGCTGTGCTCACGAAGTGAATTTTCTGCAAGATTATATTACCTTCCCTTCACTTTGTGAATCATACTCCGGCTTCTGTGCCTCCTCCAGCAACCATACAATATGTCCGAGGACCTTTTCCACCTTATCCTGTAAATTCTCATCTTGGTATACGACGATCACTGGTTCTGACAACTTAAATGATGGCTTTCCCTCATTATCTAGCTTACACTCCATAAAGTACCATTTTTCCGCATCCGTCACAATCCCCCATACTTTCTCCAAACCGTAGGAATCTTCTATTTCGTCCACTTTGCGTTTACGACATGTCAAATCTGCACGGTGGCCTGTGCAAATCCCTGCTTAAAGTCATCTTTTTTAACTTCGACTAAACCAACGATCCTATTAGTCGAACGACATTCTATTGCATAATCGAGATTTCCTTGCCCCCGGTATGATTTTGAAATTTTTTTCGTAGACGATACCCCGCTGGCCAGATAACAGTAAGAATAAATGGATTTCGTTGCCTCATATGTCATGTCGAGTGGAGTAGTCTTTTGACGGAGTTTCAGTTCGGACAATAGATGTATAACCACGGCTTGAGACTTTTCGTTATTCAAGTCAGCACTACCGCAAGAAAAAATGGGATATACATCTATACTAGGATTTGGGTCATCGCTAAGACCGTAAAGTTCACAAACTTTCGGGAATGACCAATCTGAAAAGGGTTTCGATGGCGTCTCATTGAATACGGTAAATTTAAGGTTGGTTTTTGATACTAACGACTGCAACATCTCCTGGAATGTGACGTCGTTCCTAGGTAAGTATCTATCCCCATCACACATAAAGTTTAGTACTGCCCCATCATTTTCAAGCGCTGGTAGTTTGTACAATTCACGTATATAATCTTTGAGGCCTTCGAGAGTCGCATGCTCGATATTTGCAGTCCACTTATTTGACTTCCGCTTCGGGCTAACGACGACGTCGAACTCTGTAATGCAACAACAGGGTTAGCAAAATTTTCGAACAGTGGTATTACCTCATAACCTGAAGATTTCAGCGACCTCAGGTCGCCCAAATTTCTTGGCAAATTTCCGTCACTGAAAAATACGTACCATGCACGGACTTATTGAGTAATGCCTGCAACGCAGCGAGTTTCTCTCTTAATTCCAATACCTCGTCCGAAGAAGCAGTTGATAGGGGAGGTTCAACTAGGACGTGAATATGTTTCTTAGTCGGCTTCTCGGTCCAGTACTCCCCAATTTCGTTTATTGCGGTCAACTCATCACTGTCCTTGAGTTTGAGATTCTTCAACGGATCGTCAAGGTGATCGCCACCAATTTCTACCTTCCATAGCCTGAGCTTGTCTGCGTCCACACCAGCAAAGTCATTCTGTTTTTCCGCCTTAATAACCTTCTTGAGTTCACTAACAGGCTCGTCCCTACTTATTTTGACAGAGAAAGTTTGACAATGCAAAGTAACGTATCATAAAAGAAAAAAGAAAAGAGATGCAGGAAATGTTAAAGAACAATAAGATAGTAGATAAGATAAAATATAATTTTGAATTAATAGACGAAGGTTTAATTACGAATGAATATAATTTAATTTGGAATAACAAATTAATAACAGGAGGATTCCGAGTTTGGAGGAAAGCAGTGACATTAGCAATTTGGAAAAATGAAATTTTAAACAGCGAGAGGTTAGAAGATCTATTTATGTACAATTATAGAAACGAATTCGACTGGATCGCAAGTCTTGAATTTATTAGTAATAGAGTTAAATTTTCGCAAAGACAATGTGGTGATAGAGACACAATTGAACGCTCATACAGAATCAAAAATTTACTTAAAGAATTGCCCACATATAACACTTTATTTAAAAGAAACACGAACAAAATTGATACAGATAAATGTATAAGATGTGGGAAAATCTTCACGGAAGATTGGGAACACATATGGATATGTGAAGATAACGATATATCAATTGATGAAATCATACGAGAATCACCATATAATTTCGAAAAAGTTTTGGATAACTCTAACCAAACCGAAGAACTAGATATCTTAAGAAACTACAATTGTGAATTTATTAATATAATAGAAAGTCCTTCAAATATTTTGTTGGGGAAAAGCAGAAAATGGGAATTATTAAGAGGGATTTATAATAATAAATTCAATGATTTATCTAAAGAGAAAAAAGTTAAAGATCTAATCAAAAAGCTTTGGATGTTCACGTATGACGAGATTAAGAAACGAATATGGATACCACGATGCGAAGAAATTAAAAGATTAGAAGAAAGAGAACAAATTAAAAAAATAGATCTTAGAAGGAGAAGAGCCGCAAACGATGATATAGTAGAAGATGAAATCGACAAGGATATATTACCAGGAAAAATGAAAAAACAAAAAACAAAAGAAAATTTAGTTAAAAAAGAAAAAAATACAAATATAAATAGACAAATTAGCTTAGTAACGTTAGACAAATTGAAAGGATTAATCACAGAAGGTATTAATAT